TATTCATATATCCAAGTACATATATATGTGCTTGTGTTAAAGGACAAAATTGTATTTCAAATAATATCTAAATAAAAATATATTTATACATTTTAATTCTCGAATTATTGTGTTGCTTAGTAAAATATCAAATTGTTAATGAAAAGCAGCGTCAATGCAACATGATGCACCGAGATATTGAATTGAATCGAATTGATGGCATGATAATCGTAACTGAACCTAACTGTGAGACCAGTGTAGGTTCACACCACTAACAATTACACGTTAGAAATGTGCAACAATGGGAACCTAAAAGTGTGTTGATATTAGAGATGTATCGAATTTTCAGCCACAGAATATTAATGGGTCGAAAATATGTTATGCCATTTAATGTACCCTCTAATAATCTAGCCCTTTTGTGGCTTCAGTCATTGTTGGGGTACTCTTTAAAAGCTGGGCGCATTAACAACTTATATCGAAATATATATCGTTATCGTTCAATATGGAAAATAATTATCAAGATTGCATTTTTTTTCCCATATCGCCCAGCCATATAGCCAGCTAAAAAATTTTTTATAAAAATAATCATAAGACATTTATAATCATAAGATTGACATATTTTTTTAAGTTCTACAGATAAATTTGATAAATATGCATGAAACAGTTTTGAAGTTTTGTGGGGTTTTTTCGTCAGCGACTCAATTAATAAACACAATCTATCAATTAAGATCTTCGTTAATGAAGGTTCATTTTAACAGAAACTGTCCAGGTAATTATCTGCCAGGATATTATCTGTTTTTCAACAGATTTCCTTTCTTGCTTTTTACTGTAACTTTTAAATAGTTAATGAAGGATCATGTGACACTCTGGAGAAGGCATGGGCTGGTATAAATTTTTGACGGTATGATAACCTTGGATAAAAATACCACAAATTCACAGCATTACAGTATTGTGATTACTGCTGTAAAATAAGTTATTTTTAATGTCTAGGTAAAACAAAACAAAATTGAATTTATTTTAAGAAACATTTTTAATACTTTGGAATGTCAAAATAAAATAAAACATTGACTCATGCTGTCTTCATTAGTTTCAAAAACACAGATTTCTTTACAACACATAAAAAAAATACATTTAAAAAACCTTACATATACCTTGGGAGCGGTATAACAGTACATTTTAGCGATATTAAAACCCTGACTTCTGCAAACCACAGTAAACCTAAAAACCGGTTATCATCCCATGCCTTCTCTGGAGTAATGCCTTCCCAAAATCCAGTTGTTATACTACAGTATTTTTAAGGTATTTGAACTGGAATTCTTTTAATTTGCAGTAATATCTCACAACATTGCTTGTGTCGTTTTTGATCAAACGAATTCCTTTGTGAGACGAACATAAAAAGTGGTTTTAAATGACAGTACGTACGCATATCAGTAAAGCAGCATACTGTAGATATGTGGTGTCTTACTTTTTTTCCAATTGTGCCAAACTAACATGTAAAATTCTTTACAGGGAGCAAATCTCAGCTGCAGAAGTCAAACAGGTTAAGAGTTTATGGAAGTAACATTTGGAACAGATCCACAAGCTGATACACATTCTGCATAGATCAACAACAACCAGAGAAACCCACACAAAAAAAAAAAAAAAACAGTGAAGACTGAAGAGGGTCTTTTTTGCTACTTCACAACATGTCTAAAAGCCTTCAGATGGAGACAACAAAATAAAGCCAGGATCAGAATCCCTGGAGAGAAGCAGTGCCTCCGTACCATGGCAGCATCCATTGTTTACTCACACAGTGTGAATCATACTCTCTGCAGCGCAATCCCAGACTTAAGTCCCACAGATCTGAGGACAGCTAAGACATTCTGAAGGCTTAATTCATTTGGTAGGAGGTATTGAATGACGACATGGGGCAGAAAGCCAAGGGAAAATGAGAGCTGAGTTGCCCTGCTAAACATTAACCTACCTACTCGCATTTGCTTGGAACCATTCGCCCCTATCAGAGGGTAACTGACCTAGTCATCGCTGTCATCATAGAGCAACAATACCAGCAAGAGTCTGCAGGCTGCAGCTACATAAGTTCTCTCAATGGCACACACTGGGTGTGTCTCAACATCCAGATTATTTATTTATTTATTCATTCTGTTTTGCAAGTACACCCGCTAAATTTTGCACAACACTGGAGTCTGCAAATGCACCCAGATGGGCTTTTATGAAACTTTTATACCATTTAGATTGTGCATTTTTTAAAATGACCAAGGACTTTAAATATTTGACTGCAGTGCATAGTCCATCACATGATTAAATTCATAAAATTCAATTATCTACAATTAATACTTTATATTTTTACATTTTAACATAACAATAAGGCAATATAATGAAATCAAAATGAGCTTATAGCTTAAAGACTTTAAACTGGAGCCAATACTTGATAAATCTTATAAAAGTGACCCATTTATCAATCCAGCAATAAACAGCAGAAATAAATACGAAAGAGCACAATAATCCTGGTGAGAGTGATTACTTTTTTTTTATTCCTTAATTAAATTGATCATGTAAATCCAAATATCACAAAATAAGATCAAAACAGCACGCCACAGTAGATTCAGTGGTCTTTAAATAAGATGTTTGATAAAATGTCATCATTATGTTCTTAACGTTCAAGTCAAGCAGGTGTATACAGACCCTTGCATATAATCAGCGATAAAGCTTATCATCAAAACTTCCTTAGGAAATTCCAATATGACACTCACCGCTTTGCTCTCCAAGAAAGACGAGTTTGAATTTCCTTAAAGGGTTTCCAAAGTCATTTCCCACAGACATGTTGGAGGGCTTGTTTTGATTAAGCAGCGTGTTCCCACCGGTGTAGATGTTTGGATGGGGCAGCGCGATGGAAAAAGCGGCGCTCCTGTGCGTTTGGAGACGGGAATGCTGCACTGGATCGGCTGTCAGACTGAAGGGCTGTTTGCGCATGCGCGGCCTCACCTCGCTCTCTCACTCTCATGCACACACACGACGTAGTGCTGTATCAACCCACAGAGCCTGACGTCATGCTGTATCAGCCCACAGAACATGATGTCATATTATTGCCCACATTAAGCTACGGAAGGTTTGTGCTTTTTATAACATACTGTTTTCTATTATACATTTATTTATGGCTTTTAAAATTGATTGAATGGTGCTTGGGGTTGAATAGTGCATGGTTAAAACCTAGAGTACTGTACTATAAAGTCTGCATCCCAGTCAGGGGTAGTTCACTTTTCAATTTATATTAAAATAACTAAACAAGTAGGCGACACAGTGGCGCAGTGGGTAGCACGGTTGACTCACAGCACGCAGGTCACTGGTTTGAGCTATGGTTTCCCCCACAGTCCAAAGACATGCGCTATAGGTGAATTGAATAAACTAAATTGGTCGTTGTATTTGAGTGTGAATGCAAGAGTGTATGTGTGTTTCCTAGTGATGGGTTGTGGCAGGAAGGGCATCCGCTACATAATACTCAATGGATGAGTTGGCGGTTCATTCCGCTGTGGCAACCCCTGATTAATATAGGGACTAAGCCGAAAATTAATGAATAAACTAAGCAAATATTAGTAATTAAGTTATTAAGAACTGGTGTAATTTAAAAAAAAATGTGCAAGTGTGCTAACTTTGTTTATATAACTTTAATAATAACTTTTAGCCTAATTATTGTTATGATATTGATATTGGCAAAATTATGGGATACTAACTCATAATTTAAAAAAACTCAAAATGATCAGCCAATTTTTGGCTGAAGAGGAGTTTTTATGTCATAAACTGTTATTTATCAAAGCATGATATTTTTGTCTTTATGTGACAGAGACAAAAATTTTATCTTACACTCTCAGAAATAAAGGTACAAGAGCTGTCACTGGGGCACTACCTTTTCAAATAATACATATTTTGTCACCTTGGAATTATAGGGTTCTATTTGTGTTCTGAATGATTTTGAGATATTGAGCTTCAAAGTTTTTGCATGCCAATAGCAAACTGTATGTGTGTAACATCTGTTGTTGAATAAAAAGTCTTCAAATAAAAACAACATAAAAAAAAATCCCATAATGTAAATAAGTTGTCATTTATTAAGAATATGTCAATAACTCAATTTTGGCAAAAAAAGTCAGATAGAACCTTATAATTCTAAGGTGACGATTTGTACCTGTGGGGCCAAAGTGGTAGCTAAAGTGCCCAAATTAGTCCCCAAATGTACCTAAAAATTACCTTTGAGGTACCATTATGCACCCCTCAGGTACAACTATGTACCTTTTGAAAAGGTACTGCCCCAGTGACAGCTCTTGTACCTTTATTTCTGAGTGTCCATAACTTTAATAATAATAATATTGTTAGCTTAGTTAGTGCATCGACAAATAGCACCAAGGTGCTCGGGGCAACCAGAGTTTGATTCAGAGTTTGAGGTCTTTTGCCGATCCTTCCTCTATCTCTGCTCCCCAAACTTTCCTGTCTATAAATCTCCACTGATTAATAATTATTAATTATTTAAAAATGAAAGCAACAAATCTGAAAAAAGTTGCTCCTGTGTCATAACAGAAAAACCATCAGAAAAATGATGACTGTTTTAGAACCACATTCTAGGAGGACCACCAACTTTTCCATGTCTCCTTAACCAAACACACCTGATTCAGATCATCAGCTCATTAGCAGAGACTGAAAGATCTGTAATGAGTGAGAGACAAAGGACAAAGGAGACATCCAAAACATGCAGTGTTGGTGGTCCTCCAGGAATGTGGTTGAGAAACACTGAATTATGAGTTACTAAGTCACCATTTCAAGACTGAGAAGAAAAGTGAAAATTATGACAGGTCAGTTTCTGCATTTTTTTTCTTCATTTTGTCATGCTTATGACTTTTTAATTTAAAGTCATAATTTTAATTTACCAAATAATAATAATAATAATTATTATTATTTTTATTATTGGAGCAAAAAGGCTTTCATAAACCAACCTGATGGCAAACAAATATGGGAAAAAATAAATAAATAAACAATTGTTTGTGAACAAAATTTATATTTGAAATAACTTATGCATCGGTAAATAAATGCTATATTGCAGGATAAAGAGTTATCACGATTCATTACTTCAAGCAGCATAAAAAAGCATATTGTCATTTGTATTATGAATCGTGGCAAAACAGTATGCACATATGAGTATAATAAAACAGCAATTTCAGGTACAAAAATATATTTTACAAATAATTGATGCCTAATTTGAAAATATCTTCACATTTGAAGGTAACATTTAAAACCCACTCAGGCAACTATCATTAATTGACGCTACAAACCTCAACTCACACACAGTTTGTGTATCTGTGCGCATCTGAGTATAACAGAGCATCCCTCGTCCTTCACACTGTCTTCATTTTGCCCTCAGATTGTTAAAAAAAAGAAAACATGGAAATATTTGGGTCAACCATTCTGAATTTTGAGCCAATGGGCTATATGCACAGCTAATGTTTTCAGTCAATGATCCAGTGAAAGTTTTATGTGACTATTTTCATTTTCATAAGGTTCCTTTTACAGCATCGATGTTGTAATGTAACTCAATTATAATCAGTTAAATAGACTTAAGCATCCGTTTGGTTGTTAAAGCATAAAAAAGATGAAAGACCATTTAAACGCAGACGCTGTCATTAGAACCAGGCTAGTGCTGAAACTCTATTGAAAATACTGGGGTAAAATTAATTTCCATATTTTAAAGATAATTTAATGTGGTGCTTCTTGTTTTGTCTGATACCCACTTTATATCTTATCTCAGCCAGGCAGTGAAGATCGCTGTTCTTTTTAAAGAAATCAGATCTTAAACACTGCGATTTTTGTATGACAATTCACCGGAAGCCCTGGGGCTGGCTGACTGAAATCAAAAGTCTGTGCGCATATACCCCATAGCATAGTAACCAATGTTAAAGGCATAATAACCAAAGTGAAATATACAGAGTGTTCTTGTTTCGTGTCCTTACAGGTGTCAAAACTATAACTCCATCTTCAAATCATCTGTGGATGAATACTGTGGGAAAGATTATGATTTTAAACTTTATACAAAAAACGAATACCACGAGTGAAGATGGAACGTCCCTGAATCTGTCCAGGTTGGCTGGTGCGCAGAGGTGAATAAATACTCAAAGCAAGTATTCTGTCTGCAACATGAGACATATCCAGAGTGAATTCCTTGGACCTCCAGCCAAGTGTTGATAGAAAGGGTTACTGATGAGAGATACTGTATTGAGGGGGCTCGGTTCACCGAAAACGTTCTCAAACGTGAGATCCAATAGGTTGAGGCATCACAGGGGTCCCTCTGGCTTTTTCTCTAAGACATACTCTCTGCTCCGATGTGTTTTCCAACCAATAAATGCCAGGAGTGCAATGCCTAATGTTTTATAGCCCACCTGAAGTCCAAGATACCTGCAACAAGAAATCATAATCATCATCAGTGCCAATGTCATGGATTAAATTGATATCTATATTAGCATCCAATACATCAGGTAATAGCAAACACATGCAGCAGGTTTGTGGTCTGCTATAAGGGTGTGTAATATTAAATAGGCTGAATAAAAAGACATTTTCGATTACGATTATACACTAATGTTTTACGGGGTGTGATTTTGTGATGACACCATAGCTGACTTGGCTGACACGAACGGATAAATAAATATAACACCAGAACCACCAGTAGGAGGCAGCAATGCTCTGTCTTGATGAGAGATTCACTGAATCATTGATTTAATCCAAAGACTATGGCTGTTTCTCAATTCCAAGAACGCAGAGAACGGACTTGTGTTCTTGTGGAGACCGGTCATGCCAGGTGTCCTCGGAAGAACGAACTCAGAAGACCGAGAGGGCAGAGAACGCATCCTTTGAGAAATTAGATGCTGCGACTTCCTGATGATCACATGACCTTCCATGTTTTTAATGGTAAATTATTTAATCAGTGTAGCATTCATACAATGATTTATTGTTTATCCCCTTTTCAAAATATATACTGTGCATAAAAACATTAAAAATATAGTCTGCACAATACAAATAAAACAGATTTTAATACGAATTTCAGCAAACAAACACCCTTAATGTGTTTAAGCCTTTATTAAGATCTTCATGGTAATGTTTACTGTCACCGTTTCATTTAGGGAAACTCCTGAGGTAAATTAATGATATCTCTGAACTTTAATAATAAATCTAAATAAAATGCTGCTCTTCCCACCTCCAGTCGCAATGACTTCTGGGACTTCTAGCGCGAGTTCAGTTCTCAAGTCTGCATCGGTGCGTCCTCGATATCAAGATCACATGCGGGAAGTTTCACGCGTCCTCCATACTTGCGGTCTTGAGTATTGGAACTGAACTTAGGCAGCTGATGATGACGTTCCACGAGAACACGAGGATGCAAGACTGCTGAAGATTGCATACTGAGAAACAGCCTTTGTAACGGTCAATATGGCGAATGAAGCCCCACCTACTAGTACAAGAGCCAATCATCAGTCGCTATAGACTGACATTTCTCCGAAGAAGAAACTAGGACCAGACATGTGCTTTTAAGACAGATTGCTGGTCAACAAACGCACTTGAATCTCAGCAAATACTTGCTTCACAGACAAAAGAACTATATCCACATAAAGCTTGAAATCTGTACTTTTAAATGAACCAAGTGAACCACTTGAAAACAAACTTTTTTTGGTTTTGTTATCTGTATAAAATGAACGCGAGGTACATTCTGTGCTGTCAAATGCACATCACATGACAGAAGCATCTACTCAAACGCCCACAAACGTGTAAACAAAGAGTCGCTGTCATTTTTGGAGGAGATTCACTATTAAGACCAAGTTGTGAATTACTTCAGAAATCAGCCGATCATTATCCAGAGGATGATAATACGTAGAACGGCCATAAATGAGGTTGATGTCATGATCTCATTCCTTTCGAGTGCGCATGCTTATTAGCTTGAGCAATCTGAAAACATGCAAATTTTGTTTAATTCGGACGTTTAAAAACGAAACTTATAAGATTGTTGTTGTTTAGTTTTATTGGTGATTTCTAATATATAATGTAGTCATAAACTTGGCAAACAGTCTTTAAGAATTCGCTTCCCCATTTAGACAGAATGCTCGAGAATACCGCCCGAGAGGCGTTTCAAAGATGGCCGCAGAGTAAAATGACTTGCCTTAAAGGGACTTTGTTCAAACTATTCATTCAAAACTGCAGATTCAAACTGAACAAATGGCTGCTTTTATAAATGGATCATTGATTTGTTTCTCAAATGATTCAGGAACAAAAACAAAACCACACAAATTTTCTGCTGTGTGTAGATTAATCTATTTTTTTGGCAAAACAGCGGAAACAGACCATTAAAAGTTTAAAATACAACTCAATAGGAATCTCAATCATTCAAGGCAAAATAATTAGCCTTCCTGTAAAACGTTTATTCTTTTAAAAATATTTCTTATGTGATGTGTAAAAGACCAAGGACATTTTCAAAGTATTTCCTATAATGTTTTTTTTCTTCTGCAGAAAGTGTCTTCCTTTAGTTTGGCTGCAATAAAAGCAATTTTTACATTTTTCAAAATAAGGTAAGGATAAGAATTTTTTTTTTTTCAGATTTAGATTTTTTTTTAGAATTTTCTTTTTAGATTAGCTACAGAATAAAAACTTTCCAAATTAACCTAACTTGCCTAGATAATTAATTTAAAAATGTTTTAACTTTGACTGCTATTGAATCATTTTGGCATTGAACAAATAAATTAATTAGAAATTAGTTATAAACTATTACGTTTAAAATTGAGATAGAAATCTTCTCTTTATTAAACAGCACTTAACAATGCATTCAACTTTACAGGACGGCTAGTAATTTTAACTTTGATTTGAGTTGAATAGTTTTTTTCCAAATGCACATTCTTATAATTAATATAGTTATTTTTATACCGTTATCGGTACTTATATTGTTACTTATATTTATAAGCTTGGTGTGCATTGTTTGTAAATGCTTTTTAAATTTTAGCCTTGTATTGACAAAAAATAATTTACTAAAATCATCTAGCTTTAAGGTTAATGAATAAGATGTACTTTCATATGTATGTCATATTCTTACCGGTTTCTAAGCAGATTGTTGTCATAATAACCACATCCTTGCTTTTTTTCACAAGCAGTTTTCCACCAGATACATGTGGAGTCGATGGTCATCCCAAACAAAGCTGGAGCTGGCAGCCAGGCTAAACGCAGAGAAATAATCATTTATTTGACAGAAATTTAATTTTGCAATTACCAGTACTCATGGGTTCGCTTTGTTGTTCCACAAGGGGGCGCAACAGTACTACTACAATTGAAAGTGTCCACAACAAAGAATTACAGTGTTCACTCTGTGTTTACTCCCACTCTCTGTGAATTAGCAATTATCTTGTTTTCAGGATTATACTGGAGATTTTGCTCTATATACTTACTGAAGTCTCACTATATCATTCCATTACAATTACCATCACTATTCATGTAAATAAATAATAGTAAAAAATATGTTTTTCTATTTTACTTACTCAAAACCCTCAGAAGCAAAAACTGGATCCCTATGGCAAAAGACTTCTCTTCTGGAGGAACTGCCCTGTAAGTAAAGACAAGAATCAATGGATGGATGGATGGATGGATGGATGGATGGATGGATGGATGGATGACATAATAAGATGTAAAATAAAAAATACCAGAATTTGAAACGTCACATTTCGTTATTTGTTGTGTGTATTTCTCACCTGAGCACCATCATGTATATGGGATTGTGTGTCAGGCTTGCAATGAGTCCAGCCAGAGAAATGAGGAGCATTACAGGCAAGAGATAGTGAGGGCAGGTGTTGGAACAAGGGCCAGGCTTTGCAGTGCCCGTAGGAATGCACTTGCAGTTAATGTAACTCTGCGTAGAAAAATAGTGGAAGATATTGAAATATGTTCTGACATCAACCAGTGTCAATATTAGTTATTTTAAATGATTAATTCATTTTGTGTTGCCTTTTTTAGCAATCGTTTAAATTAGTTAGTTGTGTTTTTAGGTAGACCCAAAAAAAAAAAAAAAACTAAAACCTTAAAGATAGAAAGATAGAATATTTGTTAAAGTACAAAACTATACTTTTTAAAAAAATTCTTTAAATGTGTGCAATAGATGCACTGCAAAAATTGTGTCGTGTTTTAGTCCAAATATCTAAAACATGCTTAAATCAAGAAGTATTTTCTAGACAAGTAAAAACAAAATCTTGTTTGCAGAATAAAGTGAGTTTCTGCTGATGGAGTAAACAAAATAATCTAAAAAACAGGTACCAGTTATTTTGCTTGTTTTAATAAACTTGCTTAAGATTTTTTAAATATTTGGACTAAAAACAAGACAAAACCTCAAATTAAGAAAAGTCTTTTATGCAGTGTGCTTACCACAACCTAGAATAAAATAAAATAAAATAAAATAATAAAAAATTATATATAAATATAAATAAATAAATAAAATGGTCTGTCAAATTTAAAATCTAAGAAAAATTGCTTTTCACTGCAATATTTTTTAATAAAATTAATTAAATTAAAATTTAATTAAATTAAAAAATAAATAAAAATAAATTGGCCTATCAATTTTTTTAAATCAAAATTTTTTTCTTAACTTTACAATGAAATAAAATGACGTGACATGAAATTAAATGAAAAACAAAACTACTTAAGTTATGATCATTACAGTTAATGCTAGGTTTGTAAAAACAGCCCTACTTAATGCATACTTTAATTATAAACATCTTTACAAGTGACTGCACAACAAATGCAATCATTATAAAGAGAACAACAACTAATAATACTTCAATTAACAGCGAACACCAACACTTATTCTATAACGCTTTCCATGTCCTCCATTGACTTCCGATCACACAGGGTCCTCCGTTACTCGTTTTGTTAACTTCAACAAGCAAGGGAGTCCAGACCGAAGTCCATTTCTCACTCTAATTACCTCTTTGTATGATATGTGCTGTGTCATATACAATAATTCATCATCAGCTGCTCCTGTAAGTCTCTTGCTGGGCAATTATACAAGAGCCTTAAAGTTGTTTCGAGTCCCCAGAGCGCTTCTTCCAGGAAGTGTTGCTAATTAGGGATTGACTGGACTCAAACCATTGATCGCCAACAGAGCGTGACCGCTCATTTGCTCAGTTTTTCTAGTACAGCGAGCTGCTCTATCCAGCTTCAGTAATGAGCTAAATAAAGACAGATCTATGCAGT